GTCCAGGAAGTCCTTTGTTATTGGTTCGTCCATTTGCAATCCGGCTAGAAATCGAGGAAACAAGCTCACACCAGTATTAATTTTAAAGTGTAGTTTGTCTCAATAAAGAAACTTGTTGGATTGAAAGGGCTGAGGGGTAGAAATTATGTTATATTGCACTTGGGTAGTTTTCGGTTTTAATTGTTCATTAATCACAGGTATGTGTCGATTCAAGAAATGCAAATCTACCACAATCTGAGTGAGTTCCTGTTTAATTTTGTAAAATAAGCCAAAAAAAAAAAAACTTTAACTTTCCAAGACGGTTTCACAAAGTTCTTGTGAATAATCAATAGTTCCTGTTTATCATACTAAGTATACTAAGGTGTTATGCAAATTTTATGTCGCTGACGTAATTAAATATTCGTCGTATTATTTCCTGTTTAAAGACTAGCAAAATGGCGGACAATTTAGCGAAGTACACCGAGAAAGCTAGGATTCTTGCCTTTGTCCATATCATGGTCGGGTTTCTACTCGTCTGTTTCGGCATTGCAGACCGTATCGTGGGAACATGGACCGGTGTTATAGGTATGGGGATTTGGACCGGTATATGGGTGAGTAGAATTTGCAGTTCGTCGAATGTTGATTTTTGTTTTTGCACTCAAGGACGCGAAAATATGTAGACGTCATGATAAAGAGATAAAATTTCAATTGCAGATCTGTCTTTTTCGTAAACATTCTAACCAAAGGGTTCTGTAAGGCCCTTTCCACACGTCACTAGGCCGGAGGAATTTGACTACGAACGTTTTCCGTCCACACCACACGGGAGGAATTAAAAACGCAACAGTCACCGGCCATTTTGTATTTATGACTGAGCAAAACATCAAATGATTATCGTCGCCACATCGTTTTCGAAACGCTCCGTTTTCATAATGTTTTCAGTCCACATGAAACTGAAACGAAAAGCCTGCATTTTCAAATTCAAGCGGTTTGAAGAGTGTCTTCCTAAAGCTCCGTTTTCGTGACTGATTAGTGTGGACGGTAAGTTTAATTGTAGAAAAATTTTCCGGCGTAGTGTAGACGCTGCCTAAAAGATGTTTACTGCACGTAATCGAGCGACGGTCTCCTAACGTAGATTGTTTGGAAAACGTTGGCCGAGAAGCACAGGCCGTGACATAGCTCTCAGCTAAATTGCAGAGTGCTCTTCCGCCCGATCAATATCTTGTGTACCTAAATAGCTTTCTGTGCAGATAGACAAAATCACCGATATAGCGGCGGTGTTCACTGTCTGTAACGCGCACTACCAAGACCCCCTGGGAAAGATGGGGTGGGGTGGTTTCAAACTTTTCTCACTTTAATTGAATTCAAGCTATAGTGTTCAAACTCTATTACTTTTTTTGAAGATTTACCGGGGAATATAAGCAACACATCGAGATCAAACTACAAGGTTTCAACGTGCTGTTTGATTTTAATGCTTTCATTCATAGATATATCCGTTAACAGAACTAATATTAGCCTTAATGCTTAAAGCGAAAGTTAGCTGATTAAACGAGCGAAGAAAATTATACTCTTTACCG